CCCACACCCACACCCACACCCACCCACACCCACACCCACACCCACACACCCACCCACACCCAATTTAGATTATAACGATGGTTTTCTAACATCATGATATACTTCACGAACTCATTATTAACTTCTATCAATACTAAAAATAATCAGTATTAATTAACTTCCCTGAAGCTAATAGATTAAATTTGATGAGTATTTAATTCCATTGCGTAAGATGATCTTTTCAGAATAAATAAATTTTAATTGGTTCAATTTATATAAGTCTGTTCATATAAAACTTTTGCATCAACGCATGTCAAACCATACTTGGACAGACATGAGTAAAAATTGGGAATAAATTCTTATTGATCCTAATGATTAATGGATAAACTACATACACTTTTCAATATAGCGTGTGAAAGTAGCTTATCTTGACCGTATGGGTTCTATTTAAATTCAATAGGTTGGTGAAATATTTACTTAGTTTTGAAAAGTTCTACAACTTAAACGTTTTTCTAACAATAATCTCATAACTCTATCATTTTTAATGAAGAAGTCATCTTCGTTTGAGATTCATGAATAGAACTATCACTTCTAGCGTACTGTAAAATCATCTCATACATCGACAAGAATTCTATTCATTAATAAGATAATTCTTATTTGCACTATGTACTTTTATATTACAGCTCTTTTTTTGGTATCTTATTCTATTAATAAGAATTCATATTAGGATAATTGCAGACTATTCTTAAAAAACAATACAGAACAGAAATGAACATATCTATTGTAACATTAATCTTTACATATTCAGTTAACAAGCTGAGCAGCTTACACGGTTGAATTTCACCATTTTCTTACATAAAACTACAAACTTCCAACTATGTTAAATTTCGATTGAATTGTTATTATTTTCACATAGTTTACAAAGTCCCACAATGTTTATTTGTTAAATTTCATTAATTCGATTTAAAAAAAAAGAATAGTTTCGTCCTGTTTCTCAGTAACATTAGTTAATCGTACAAGATTCAAAGATTAAAACACTTATAAGGACAGCCTGAATGCTTCTTGTCAGATGTTAACAGATCATACAAGATCTAAAACAAAGAAACATACACTATACATAATGTAGATCTTGCCTGTTATTATCTGTTCGTGTATAGTGTGTTCTGTTCTTTCACTTGTTTGAGAGTAGTTGACTTCATCAGCTTTTCTATGAAGAATAGCACTTGAAAAATAGGATCAAGCAATGTACCTAATTTTTTTTATTCGTTTTCTATACTAATAGTATACAAAACGGTTACTTCTATTTCTTATTTTTCTGTGGTGACAAAATAGTAAATTCTATTTATTTTTTATTTTTCTATATTGATGATATAGAAACAGTTATTTTTGTCCTATTTGTCTATAGTAATAATATAGAAAATGCTAATTTTCGTTTGTTATTTTTTTGCATTCGTGATATGGAGAATCTTATTTTTCTACATTGGTAATAAAGATTACAGTTTGTTTTATTCTCTATTTTTTGTATATTGTTGACATAGAAAATTGCATTTTTAAATTTTTCTATTATTATCAATATAGAAGAATAAAAAATGACAGTTAAGATTTTCTCTATTATTGCTATAGAAAAATCAAAAATTAAAATTGAGATTTTCTATATTATCAATCTAAAAAATGAAAAACAATAAATAAGATTTTCTAAACTACCAATTTAGAAAAACAAGAAATGAAAATTTAGATTCGTATATTATTGATAAAGAAAAATAAGAAATAAAAACAACTGTTATCTATATTACCAACATAGAAAAATTAAAATTAAAACTAATCATTATTTATATTATCAATATAGAAACTAAGAATTAACAAATATAACTTTCTACATTATTAATATAGAAAAATGAGAGGTAAAAATGAGATTCTCTATATTGCCAAAATAGAAATAGAAGAAATAAAAATGGAAATTTCCATACTACATTATAGAAAAATGAAAAATAATGAATAGGATTTTATATAATATCAAATATAGAGCAAATGTTGACTGTACTTGTTCTAAAATAAGACTGAAGTTTATGTGCAAAAAAACGAAGCAAGGTAGCCGGTCAGACTGATTATTTCCATGTGTATAAGAGATATTTGAGAAGTTTGATTTAATTGAAATAAATCTATAGTATTAATAAGCATTTCATATAGCTCTATACCATCATCTATAAGTAGAATACAAAATTACCTACTAGAATATTATGTCTCACAATCTCTTTGATTTAAAAAGCAGAAAGTATTGTTTGGTTTCTGACTCTCATCTTCGAGTTGTTTGACACATAATTAAAGGTCTCATACCGTTTTACACGTATTTGTTTTTTGTCGATCCAAGAAAAGAAATAATACTAAAATGTACTTTCTTCCAATTACACTGAGACATTAAACATATTAAAAATATATGACATTACATAATAGAAATGAAAATTGATTAAATAGTAGTATTAAATTTAATCAAGATCTCGATTATAGCTAGATTCTTCATAGATAAATTAAGAAGGATGAAATTATTTAAATTATTTTTAGGGAGTTTATAAAACTGCATGACATTTTTTATTAACTTCATCGATTCCGTAACTGTCCATTCAAGATATAATCATAGAAGTATTGTTTCTAGTTTAAAGCTCATATCAATATCAACCTTTAGAAAATTCTAGACCAACAATAAAAATTTGAAGAAGAAATCTTCACACTTATTGCTATTGAGAATAGCTAAAATCATGATGAAATCTTTTACGATCATTGTTTTTTTTGTGAGAATCCTCACAAATTTACACCTATTGAATAACCTACAAAACATAAACTTGCAAAGATTTTAGATCAAGGTTTCAATAGGAGATTCGTATTGTCTTGCAAAGAAACGAAAATACTTAATTGTAGTAAGTTCGAAATCGATCCATGATCGAAACTGCTATTGTTTAAAAAACCGTGTTCCATACCCTATTAAGTAGAAAATTTGTAATACATGAGAAATGAATTCAAAATAAAGGATTTGATTGATTCGTATATAGATTATTGTTTGTGCTACAATGCAGAATAATGAATATGACAGATTCTTCAAATATTCTTGAACTTGGAAAAGATTTGTTTTTGAGTTCTTTTCATCTACTAAACGTCGAACTTACGTATTTTTTTATCTAAACTTATCTTATTTAGTACTTCGATTAGCCTTTCTACAAACTACTTGTTTGTTTGAGATTCAGGAATAAATTACTCAATAATAAGTATGATGCAAAATTAATTGCGCAAAATACTTTCGAATGATGTATGATTTATATTTGTCACACATTCGTAAATGGAATAAGAAAGAAAAATACTTACACAAAAAATTTGTAATTTTTTTATATCAATCAGTCAGAGCTGGGCAAGTACGGACTTTTTCGAGTACGAGTACGAGTACGAGTACCAACCCCTCGAGTACGAGTACGAGTACGAGTACCAACCCCTCGAGTACGAGTACGAGTACGAGTACCAACCCCTCGAGTACGAGTACGAGTACCGACCCCTCGAGTACGAGTACCGACCCCCCGAGTACGCGTACGAGTACTGCGAAAATCGTGCTTGAGAACAAGAAATTTTGATACATTGAGAAAATATGCAACTGTTTAGCAACATAATCGTTGAAAAGAATTGCGTGTAATTTTACAGTAAATCAAGCGCGTAAGAAATCAGCTATTCTGTTCATCTTCAAAATTCAGAAGAATAAAAGTACCCTGCTCTTCGGCTATCTTAGGTTATAGGGTGTCCGCAGGTGACAGTTCCGTAAGCCCGATATATTTCCTACAACAACTTAGTAATAACTGCAGCTCTCGGCAAAAGGCCGACTTGACTCGGATTTCTTTCAATCATTCACTTGAATTTTTCGCACAGACTGCCTAGCTAGATGTTAACCGCAATGATCGGTGTATGTCACAAGGTAGTTAGTAGAGTATTGTGCGCTTGACTTGAGACAAGAAGCGGTGAAGAAGCACAGAAATAGGCACCTGGTACTTATTTGATATAATACTATTTATCTGAATATACGAAAGCGGATGAGAGCGTTTTTTGTCTTCTCAATGTTTAATTTTTTGTGTTGAAAGCAATAAAGCAGTGACAATCGATAATATCGCAGATATTTATTTCAGAACATCTCGTAATCAGTTTTTCGAGTAGGGAATTGCAAAGTGATTCCGGTACCGGTCCAGACGGGACCTAAAGCTTTTTAAGCTGCTTCCGGTGTATTTTTTATGAAGAACTAGACTATAGATTTTCATGCTTCTTGTTTGATGGCGACTAAGAATGCGTAGATTTGCCATTTTTATTTATCATTCCGATACGAGTCTCTCATTGATTTCGATTCTGATTTCAACACCTGAGATTTTTCGATGATATGTATAGGTTTTTAAATAGGCGTACTCGTACAATATATACATATTTGGGTTGATAGAAATTCAACCATTCTTCTAATTGTACATTTTTTGTCCTTCTTTCACTGTTTCTAGTATAAACTCTTAAGTGTTGTTGGGTTACTTCTCTATATTTCGAAATGGAACTTTATCACTATTTGGGAATACGAGCAACAATGTAAAAGTTTAGGCTTAATTTTGCTAGAAATCTTTTGTTCTTAAAAAAATTATCGGGATCAGAAGCAATAGAAAACTTTAACCAGACCTAGGACCGGAACCAGTAAAAAATTTTGACCGGATCTAGGATCAAGACCTGGACAAGAAAAAATCTAACCAAGACCGAAACCGGGACCATCAAAACAAATTTAACCGGTAGCGAGATCAAAGAAAAGCGATTTTTCAGGGGTCTATTTTCGAGACGAAATCGTACTCTCCAAAGAGATGATCGAAAGCTATACCATTCTTCCGAGCGATACGCCTGCGACTTAAAAAGGGGATTGAGAAATATGCAGAATAAACTGTTGCAGCGGTATTAAAGGTCGCCACTGAATTAATCTCAACATTAAATGCTGAAATATTTTGGGACGAAGAAACAGCCGTGTCAATCCTCAACATTTAGAGCACTTCAAACTCAAGTACGTGTGAAAATACATGCACGAGTACGTGTACGAGTACCAACACTCTCGAGTACGAGTACCAGTACGAGTACCGACCCCTCGAGTACGAGTACGAGTACCAACAAAATCGTACTCGAGTACGAGTACTTCGAGTATTTTGCCCAGCTCTGGCATGTAGTTAAGTATAATTAACTATTGTTATTGTCTAACAAGATGTTTTTAACGAATTCATATAAAAGTGGCAAATTTATTTTGTCTTATTTCACTCAGAAATGTGTGACGAACATAAATCATACACCGTTTCCTATCAACTGATAACAAAATTGTTTTTCCTTACGTTCAAATTCTATTATAACTCATTCTATTTTAAAATCCAAACAATAAAAAATGAAATGATTATTAAATTGATGGCATGCAAAATCTAAATATATTTCAAACTTGAACTAACGAAATCAGTAAATATGTTGGAAAAATTCGATATAAAAGAAAATTTCATTCACGATAAAATTCCAGTTCATCGTAATTTTTTACATTACCAGTTAAATTATAGTTAGTTTTAGTAAAACTAAAGATTCTTACACAAAATATTTGAAAAAAATCAACAATGTTTTGTTTTCAACATTGAGAAAATCAGATTCTAATCAAATTCATAAGTAAAAAGCTTCTGTAATTGAGAGCAGTTCAATACTCTTTAAAACAAATGAGAAGGACTCATTTCAATGACATTGATGTTTATTTCTACTTCATACTTTTGTTTCATTTCAGTACCACTACGTGCAAGTTCCACTGATATTCATCCGAATGCAAAATGGTCACAGAATGGTATCCCTGTTGCTGGAGGAAATGGAAAAGGCAGTGAAACAAATCAACTCTATTGGCCATATGGTTTGTACGTCGATGATGATCAAACGATTTATATCGCTGATTGTTATAATCACCGTATTGTGGAATGGAAATCTGGTGCAACGAATGGAAACGTAGTTGCTGGTGGAAATGGATTAGGTAAAGGGGCTCATCAGTTAAACTACCCATATGATGTGATTATCGACGAAGAGAGCGATAGTCTCATCATCAGCGATTGGGGGAATAATAGAGTAGTTCGTTGGCCTCGTCGAAATGGTACTCGGGGAGAAACAATTATTTCAAATATCTCTTGCTTCGGTTTGACAATGGACGACAATGGTTTTCTCTATGTCGTTGACGATGAAAAACATGAAGTGAGACAATATAAAATTGGTGACACTCAAGAAACAGTAGTTGCAGGTGGTAATGGAAAAGGAAGTCGTCTCGATCAACTCTCTAATCCCCACTACGTATTTGTCGATCGAGATCATTCAGTTTATGTGTCTGATTGTGGAAATAATCGTGTAATGAAATGGGAAGTAGGTGCAAAACAAGGCATTGTTGTAGCCGGTGGTCAAGGAAATAGTCTTACACAATTGAATGAACCTGAAGGAGTCGTTGTTGATCAATTGGGTACCGTCTATGTGACTGATTCTAGGAATCATCGAATCATGCGTTGGCCAAAAGGAGCCACACAAGGAAGTGTCATTATTTGTGGAAATGGTCGAGGAGCACAATCGAATCAACTCAATTATCCCATAGGTTTATCATTTGATCGACATGGCAATCTCTATGTCGTCGATTACTATAACAATCGAGTACGAAAATTTAATATCGTATCAACTTCAATACGATGATGAATTTTATTTTTGTTTGTTCTCTTTCTCTTTCAAATAAATCGTGATTGAATGAAAAAATGCATTCAAATTTATCCTATTCTTGCACGCGCACGCGACCAGGAACCATCCTGGTGGAGCCCTGGCGAGCGTAAAGCTCATGCACGCGCGGGAAGACCCACATCATCCACATGCACCCATCCGATGTCATATGTCAGTCAGTCTGGGGGCCCGATCGTGTGCCACGGACACCAAGACAGTTCCTGGCCAGGCTTTTAGAGACTACCCAGAAGTTCTTCTTATAAGGCGAAACCCTAATCTCAACATACCTTCCTCACTCTAACGTGTCTCATCTCAAGAAAAAAAAATAAAATAAAACTCACTCTTCGATGTTGAGTGATGTTGACAACTAAAAGAAAAAGAAAAAAAATTTTGAACGATGAAGAAAAAAAAAGATAACTTACCCCTATTATCTATTTCTTCATTAGACGTAGGTGAAGTTAGCCTCATGTTCGAGTAAATCCAGCCGATATTCGGCCCCAAAGCTGCCCCAGCTCCCATGGGCAGCACCAAAATAGAACTCGACCAGCTCTACCGATTGGTAACGTTGGATTTTCGATAGATCAAACCATTCGTGCAAAAAACCCAAAATACTAATTATTTCCTATGAAAATCTTACAATATGGTTAGTAAATCCAGCCGAGATTCGACCCTAGAGCTGCCCCAGCGAGTTCTAAAATGAGTACTCGATGAGCGCTATCGATTGGAATAAGTAGATTTTCTCTATCTCTAAGTATGCGTTCTAAAATGCGAAAAGATTGGTTAAATATTACAGTTTGTATAGTAAAATTATCGGGGATTCCTTCAGGAACATGTTCGAGGTGTTCCATTTGTGTTCCAAGTACAACTCGATGGGATCTCTTCAATGGTGTAATCAGATGTTCCATATTCGAATCTGTAATCGTAAGCATCTGAAAATACTTGTTTTTCGCTATAGAAACTAGGAGCCCAATAAAGTAAAAGTACTCTCGATTCACCCAGGAAGATGTTCCAAGTGTTCCGTTCTTGTTCGAAGTAGAACTCGATGAGCTTTATTGGAGGAGGTCATCAGAATTTCTATAGATCAAACTATGTCTTTAGAAATTGCGAAACGATAGCAATTTCAGTTCAGATTTATTCATACATCGGAAGGTCCATGGAATATTCAGGGAGTAAGTTGAAATGTTGCTTTTTTGATTTATTGTAAGCATTCATGCTGATAACTTATGTTGCGGTTAATCCTGACGATCGTGTTCAGTAGTGAGTGAATGACTTTTCTGCTGTGCAATGGCGGCTATTCATTAATGGCACTTTTATGCATCTCCAATGCAATGAATTATTTGCAATATGATCCTGCATTCTGCTTGAACTGCGTATATAGCATAATATGCATCAACGGAAGTGATTACACTTGTATTTTTTTCCACTAATATAGCACAACATGATGTCGTTCTTGTTGTAAAACCGATTATAAGAATTGGATGAAAATGGCAGATTCGTTTTGGATTTGTTACATGATTTTTGGCAATAAGAATACGTTTTATCAATTATTAACAAACTTGAATCAGTTTTGATCATATTTAATGATCAGTATCTTTCTTTCACAACTAAACTACAATGAAAATTTTCAATAGAAATCGACGGATTTCAAAAATGTGTTACTATAAACAACATTGAATGATGAATTTCTACGAATTATGATATGCTTTCGTAGATCGTTTTTCTCACTTATTGTGCTCGAATTGCGCCTATTTATTATTCTCAAAAGTAAATGAACCATTCTTTTTGGAGTATAATTGTTATTTAACGATGAGTCAAAAACATTTGCTGATGTAAAATTCACTTTTGATAATTATCAAGTAGAATGACCACAACCATTTCTTCTAGCTTTCGATCGATGTCGTCAATTTATAGATTGACAACATCAGATGAACACGAAGAAGATCAACATAATTTTTCTATTAATTTTAAATCGAAAGTAAAAGATTCGTGACAATTATTGCTCAGTACATAAAAGAAGCATGAAAATCGAAGACAATTCACAATACCCAACATCAATAGGCACAAATCGACGAAGATTGATTCGAGAAACAAAATATCTGATCAATTGATGGGGCTCAGTCAAGTTACATTTGGGAACGTGTTGAAAGAGCTAGAAGAACTTCCTACAAGAATATCCCCTGTTTGTAGTAACCATGTGATAGGAGTCATACAGTAATAAAATAGTATTTTGGGACTTTTTCACGAATGGTTTGATCTATCGAAAATCCAACGTTACCAATCGGTAGAGCTGATCGAGTTCTATTTTGGTGCTGCCTGTGGCAGCTTTGGGGCCGAATATCGGCTGGATTTACTCGAATATGAGGCTAACTTCACCTACGTCTTCATTAGTCAATGGCTAAAATATAAAAACCTATATAAAAAAGATCATAGGAGGACTTAGCATCGTCCAAATAATCGTAAAAAGATAAAAAAAAAAAAAAAGAAAAAGAAAATAAAAAGATGAATACCTACATTTTCTTTTATTGTGTTGATTTGAATAATTTTGTATCGTTAAAGCCAATCTAAAATATAAAAAGAAAAGATTATTATTTGATTCAATAAACTGAATGATTTTTACATGGAAAATCATTCATATTTATACGTTAAAAAGTCGATATTTTACTTTTTTTTTCTCATCAGAGAGTGATCAAAAGACGATAAAAATTTAGCTATCATCAATATATACACATACATTGAGATAAATTCAATCACAAATATCTCAATGTATGTGTATGGATAATGCTTAATTGATATATACAATCATTATGTCATATTATCATTGATCATCAATGATAACCTGAACAATGACGACTTACGGATGAGAGAAGAAAAGAAAAAAAATATATTGTCGTGACCTATATTATTTTTTCATTTTTCTCTCACTTCCATATTCAGTTGTGAGCACGAAACAGACAAACACACAATATTGAAGTATGTTCATATCATTCACTTCTTTTTTGTTCTGTTCGATATATCAACTTTGGGATATGAATAAACAGTTTATTTTATTTTAATTCAATTTAAATGAAATCATTGAAAAATGATTGATATTGAATTTTAACAGTTCATTCAACATTAAATTTATTTGCTGCTGGTAAGATTCTCCTCATTTTCAAAAATTAAAAGTAAAATAAAATATTTGTTTGCTAGATCATGATAATCAAATATTCACGACGTTTGGAAATTACAACATTAAAAGGTGTTCCTCTAATGTAATTACAAAGATAAATTTTTAAAAATAAATTAATTGTTTTATTTTATTTGAAAATACTGTTAATAGTCCACGTTCGAAAGATGCTAGTGAATCAAGAAATTCGATATAAAACTCTGAATGATATGATTTACTCGAATTGAACGTTAGGATTTTAAAAGGGTGTAACGTTTCAAAAAGAGAAAGATATTTTATCTAAATTGTTCGATATTCTAAATGTATATTTTTCTACGTAGGATATCCTAGGTCAGGATTCGAGTATTTCCTCTCACGATTC